GGGAATGCTGCTGCACAAAATAGCCTTGGTTGTTGTTATTATAATGGAATTGGAGTGGAGAAAGATGTGAAGGAGGCAGTTGAATTATATAAAAAAGCAGTTGAACAAGGGGATGCTGATGCACAAAATAATCTTGGTTATTGTTATCAATATGGAATTGGAGTAGAGAAAGATGCTAAGAAAGCAGTTAAATTATATGAAAAAGCAGTTGAACAAGGGAATGATACTGCACAATATAATCTTGCTTGTTGCTATGATGATGGAATTGGAGTAGAGAAAGATGTAAAGAAGGCAGTTGAATTATATGAAAAAGCAGTTAAACAAGGAAATGCTGCTGCACAAAATAACCTTTGGTTGTTGCTATCATAATGGAATTGGAGTAGAGAAAGATGCAAAGAGGGCAGTTGAATTATATAAAAAAGCAGTTGAACAAGGAAATGCTACTGCACAATATACTCTTGGTTATTGCTATAAATATGGAATTGGAGTAGACAAAGATGCAAAGAAGGCAGTAGAATTGTATGAAAAAGCCGCCCAACAAGGAGAAGTTGATGCAAAAGCTATCCTGGAAGTTATTAAAATATGAAAGTTGAAGTTGTAATAGGAAATGATTGAAATTGCGAATGTAATAGTGATGTATTAACAGGTGTCAGGTGCTTATTGTACAGTGTGTAGGTTTATTTATTATTATTATTATTTAAAAAATTTTATTACTTTAAGAGCTGAAAAAATGAGAAATAAATTATTTATAATGAACTATTTTGACTTGCTTGCTGGAAATGACCTTTTCGCATGCGGACACCACCGCATAATTTTATTACATCTTGTCTATTTAATATCCAATCAACAGAATAAGTTATAAATGGTGGGTCGTAACCTAGCCATTGCGAGAAATAAGTCGGTTAAAAACATTGAAGTCGTTTACGGTCAGCCGGCCAAACCATAAAAACAACAAAGCAACACGTCTTACATGTAAAATAATAAGTTTATTTACAAGCTTTCGACCGACATAAAACGTAAACATAGTTAACAATCACCACGATTACGCGTACAACTTTAGTCAAAAGTCGAGATGCTATGAAACATTAAAAACAACTAATTTATATTTTACAGCAATATAGGCAAAAAGCGCATACTTACGAAGTAAAGCAACCGCATATTTAACTATGCGGATCTCCAAGTTAACCACACTATAGTCCCTGGACAGAGATGACCGATCACCACGAAATTTTGCCGATCAAACGTTAAAAGTAGCCCATATGTAAACCAAATGTATATCTACGGATTAGCGTATACGATACGAAATATTCGTGAGTATTCAAAGCCTGCTAAAAGGTCACTAACTGTTTAGAAGAATTAGCATTAGCAGGCGTTGCCGATAACGACCGTTGGAAGACGCTAAATCTCAAGGAGGTTACACGATCGCTCTCCCACGTGTAACGTCACGACAACGTGCGAGCAATCTGTGGTCTTAATTCTCTTGACTTTAACCATACTTTGTTGTCTTCTTTAGTTGAAACAGTAAAATAGTTAAACCAAGTCTCATTATCAGTAATAATATTTTGAAAACCGCCATCTAAAACTTGTAACATCTGTTTGCAAGTTCAACTCGTTTTTGCTTATTTGCGTCCGTTATGACATGCGGAATCCTCTTGAACACACTTTGTTGAGACTCAGTTGGCTAAGTAAGATGGACTCAATTCTTTCTTTAGAGATCCCAACTTCCTCCTCTATCATCCTTATGGTGATGTGGGGGTTATCATTTACCAGTTCCTCCACGTCTTATGTCTTACTCTTACGATCATGAATTATTGATTTGTAACAGATTTTGCAGATCGCTATAATTTTATTGGTTATCACAGATATCATTCGATCGGTTGTATCTCACTGGCACATATCTATTGAAAATGCTTTTGATAATAGTAAGCAATATAATTGGGCAACTTATTGCTAAACATCAAATTGCGAAGACAAGTTGAATTTAGTTATGCAATAGCTGTAGTTAAGTAAACGAACGTGAAAGCTTACCAAGTACGTGTGTTACTGTGATGAAAAATTATTTGCAAATGTCCCATCTTAAAAAGGGCCAATTCCCAGAATGGGCCGTAACATTACTGTAAATGTATTTAAAATGTGCGGAATTATAATAATAAAGATTACTGGTGTTTTATTTAGATATTGCCATGGTTATTTGTATAATCCGCTTAACTTTATTTTATAGAGTACAAGGATTAATTAGTGAAATTAGGAGTTAGAAATATTTATGGCTAAAAAACCTATTTTAAATTTACTTATATCTCCTCTTTGCTGTATATAATTAAAAAAATCATCTTGCAAGAATATAGCAATGTTAGGACATTTGAAGGTACAGGCTTGCTATGAGCGCAAAATTTATTAGACGTTCTGAACAAATGCATTTGATCAATCGACGTTGTGAAAAAATTCCTCGATGTATGCTGTCGAAACTATTTTTGAACAATTGATATTGTACAATTAATAGAGTTTGGTGCATATGGTACAAGGCGGGTTGTCCAAATAATGCGCGAGAGTTAAATATGAAGAGAAACTAATGCTATAGCTCAAGATTACAATAAACATTTCCTCGAATGTTCAATACATAATAGGCATCATTTTATTTTAATCTCTGATATTTGTTGACATCGCATAATGCACAGCACGATTGCTTTGTTTGAGGTCACTTACAGACAGTGCAAATACATAATTTTTTGTTCAATGTCCTAATGCTTTGATAACACGTGCAATGCGTTGTCAGGCTGTTTAGGAAAAACTATAAAAAAAATTAAATTTCTTATGCTCAATGACCATAAATTTGTTAAAATATTCAACGAGTTTGTCGAAACAGCTTTAGATGTACACTTTACTTGCGTCTAATAAAAGACACAAAAACAGTGAATTGTCATTTATTTGGACAATACCACAACGCAACGCTTTTAAATTTGCAACGCGTGCCCGACTGTTAACGATGCTGATTAATCTGGTGCGCTAACACTAGTATGACAAAATTATTTAATTAGTTTAATATCGAAGCGGTAAGCTTATCAACATGCTGTGTACCTAACGTCTTTGTTAATGTTCTTCTTTGCATCAACAAGCCAGCTATTTTCTTGTAGATACTAATAATATTATTTCTAAAAGTAGAAATAGTTTCAAGATATTAATGTACATGTGATATATATTTATTTCACATTTCAAGCATAACGTTAAATTAAAAGATTACCGTAAACTCTCATGAATAAGAGCCCACCATAAATAAGGGCCCCCCTATATAAAAGTGGCGATCATGTGATAAGATCTGTAATGGTTTGAAAACGGTTAACCCCCCTCCCCCCTCATCACCCACTTTATTATCATCCAATAACGCCATATATATGATATACGCAGCTCATGATTATGTAATAAACGAAAATTACGCGGGCAACTGTTACGTGACGATGGGTGGCTTAAAAACAATGCAAATAATCTACAACCAACCCATCCATGAATAAGAGCCCCCTTATATGATGAAGGGGGGCCCTTATTCATGAGAGTTTACGGTATATTATATATTTACTAGGATGCAGTCAACTTTTTGGAACCATATGTATAATCTAACATGCAGTGATACAGACCTGTAAACGGTAATATTATCAACCAGATACCAAAACAAACGGTCTTTGAATCACTTTTCTCAGTATTGAGAAACACCCATTTACTCCACGCGCTGCAAGTCAAATTTTTTGTTTATTTTCTAGGTTTATTATATTGGTTTAAAAGGGATTTTTTTTATAACGAAAAAAAGAGGAGGATCCACAAATATTAATATGCAATAAACCAAAAAAGATTGCATAAATTTGCATTCAAGCTATTTGTACTTTTTATTTTATAAATATGATACTTGTAATATTCTACAAAATTTTATGTCATATACTTGGTCAAATTCAGTTATTGAGGAGAAAAAATTACCAGTAACGCTTAACAAATAAATTTTATGGTTTTTATTAGCAACTATACGTCTTACATACGTTATATAAATGCAACAATGTAACAGTTAACATTATCTGAATGTTATGTTCTGGCACGTAATATTGTCAATTGCACTTTGTAATTAAATAATAATTATGTAATTAATTGTTTGTCATGATTGTAGTTATGTAGCAAATTAAAATGTTATTCTAATCACTGATAATGAATATGGCTAATAACAACAGCTTAAATTAAAGCTATGTACAATATAACATAATTTTGGAGCACTATGCTTCAGTAAAGTACACTTCGAGTCTTAATTTAGCTTGCCGACTCAGAGTATTCCATTTCAGTGTCAAATTAAAGTGTAGGTTAGATTAAACTACTCAAATTATTCCGTTAGCATTGCTACGGAGACTAAACTTATTACAAAACAAAAGTAACGTTGAATGACAATAAAACGTTGCAGATTACTGCATCTATGAAATTGTCTTACTTTCAGTCTTAAAAGAGTGTATTTGGGGACTGTAACTAGCAGGCTAGTATCATAATGTGTTTGTGCTACTACTCAGTAAATAAGTTTCTATTCGCTAAGTACTGAAGTAGTCCACGTAATACCGACTGCCATCAAGAGTGGAGCATAGCTCGCTCAGGCGTTGTTATCTTACTATTTAGCCGATACGTTTTTACCATGTGATTAAATTTACGAGAGCGTTCTGTGTAATGGTCAACAATGAACTGGCTTGCTGATGAGTTACTTGTTGATAAAGTTGAGTTAACCTTTCGCGTTGTTGCTGATAAACTTTATTGATAAGGTTTTCCAGAAAAGCATTAAATCTATCGTAAAGCATAGGTAAATTTTAGTTCTTTTTCTTCCTGGTTTTTTCATATCATCTTGTGAACAAATAACCTCCACAATAGTATTAACTCACTAATCAAGCCTTCTTTCAAAGTTCGTAATAAATCCTCAGCAGCAGAAAGCATGAAGGATTCATAAAAATTGGGAGAGTTTTTTCTAATTTCCACAAACAGCTGCTATGGCGGCTAATCCCGCAACCACAACAACCCCGATAAGAATTCTTATTCCTCAACTTCTGTCCCCTTTTGGCGATCAGCCCAATCGTAACCATAGTCACGGAGATAGTTGCTACAACGAAGAACATGACAAATTAAATCTACTTCCCGAATATGAGATAAAAACTCATTACCTAATCCCAGCCCTCGCGTGGTCGGGATTAAATAGAAGGTAATTTATACAACATGGAGCCTTAAAATTGAGGGTTATTATTTGTCCCAAAAAAATAACTTTGTCTTTGCGAATGGCTTTAGGGAGAGAAGAAATGCCCTCAGCAGTCAATTCCTCAGGGGGCAAAAAATAATTTCCTCGGCAGTGCCGTTTATTTTTTGGCGATTAATTGGCGAGTTTGTTGAACTACTGCCTGGATTTTCTGTGGATATCTTCTGTGTCCTCTATATATCTAATCAAAGCCTCTTTAATGAGAAAGTCTTAACTCTTTATTTATAATATTCTCACTTTAAGCACAATGGATGTCACTCTTGTAAACATAGTGACATTAATGAAATTCTTACTATTTGAACGATCAAGATACTTAATTCTACGGCGCTGTAACTATTCAGAATAATAAACACTGCACCTTCATGGTAACTACAAAGTTTTTTGTAAGCTTTCAGGGTAAAATTTCATGCTGGTCTATTTGAAGTCTATTTGTTGACATTTTCCTATAAGAGATTACAACATCCTCCATCAATTTGCTACGTTGAACTAGAAAAATAATTAAACAAACTAGATAAAAGTTTTGTCTGTTGGAAATCCTTTGGGCAAGCCCATCGACAGCTTCTGGCCAATCATCTATCCGCAATTTATTATAATTCACGCTCTTTGATACGGCCATTTTGTCACGATAACGGTGAACGCTAAAGATTATCAAAAATTGAACAAATCTTGCGTAACTTTTACCAGTTTTTGGGGCGCTTCTTCAGAACAATAATTTTGGAATTCGTATTACCCAATTAAAGAAACGTTTTAATTCATGTGAAAGTAACGATCATGCGTGGAGATCAGCGGCGTATTTTGTTCTTATCCATTTGACAGCTACCAAATCGTCACGATTGTTTATACTGATGAAATCAATCTCGATCACATCTATATCATAAAATGGTGGGGTTTCCTGGTAAGGACATTACGCCAAATGATGTTATTGTATATAATAATGTGGTGGTTAATCAACTGACGCCCGATCTTGTCATAAGTAAGAGTAATATATCATGTACAGCTGTCAAAGATTGCGTAATTCCAATATAAGCACTCGTTTGAATAATAATAAAAAAGTGCTCATTACTTAGGCAAGTAAAAAGTTCAATGTTAATTCTATCGAAAGAGGTTCATTCACAAACAGAGCTGTGTCATTTTTACTGCTATCTTATCGCTGCTGTCAAGGAGTTTTTGCATATTTGTTTACTCTAGAAACCCTTTAGCAGAACACAAAACTCAACCTTATTGGAATGCTTATAATACTGTATATTAATGTAAACAAAGCTTTGCAGGGACTGCAGACTTATCTGCTTCGTAAAAGCGTTTGAGCCGTAAGAGTGAAAACCGTAACGGTACATGCACTAAAATTTGAAAGTTAAAGGGGTAGTTGTACTAACCATAATTTACTGGATATTTGCCCGATACGTTCATTTCGTTATTGTTAACTTTCCCTTGTCTTACTTATTAGTCTGTTTATTGTAATATTCAGTGATTGCAAAGTTTTAAAAATTTGGTTGTTTATGTAAATAAGGAACGCCGGATATGCAGACTTTGACTAATGTTTTATTACAACCCCCAAAGTTCGGAGTAGCTACTCCATGAATGAAGTTATAATTTTGATTGTAATATACACAAACCATTTTCTCGCAATTGTACTGTTAAGTCTAAAATATTTTCTACTTTATAAAAATGTATAAAACGTTTGTTTGCTGCATATTAAGTTAAATGTATTTAACCTTCCGTCAAAGCAATTGTCTCATTACACAATTGTGTAGCGGTTTACTTATAAATACACCCGCTTCGCAACATCGCCTTTGCAATTGCTCAAACTTTTTTCGAATTAAACTAACAATAAGGCATGTATTAATAAAACCAATCTTTGCTATCTTATCACAACGCGCGTTGCTTACTTTTATGTTGTGTGCGGTAAAACATTTACTAACATATACTAATTTTCCAATTCTTTTATTAGATCGTTTTCTATGTATGACTCAAATATTACAAGACTCGTCACATTTGCGAAAAGCAATCTACCAGCAATTCTTAACTGCAACGTCAAACAACTGACTGCATATACGCAAGTCTTTATCAGTAGCAAACGTACTATTGCCGAATGTGCATTTAGTTACAAACATTTTTTGCACCGACTTGTTTGCAACACACGTCTTTTAGTGTTACGCTGTAAACGTGTGTGGTCTTCTAACACGTATCCAGAACACACATGTTTGCACGCGTTTTCAAGGATATAGAAATGTAAGTACTATCTTCTACGGTTTGAATTTAAAAAAAAAGTAACTATGTTAGCTTGCGTATCGGCACAGTGACTTTGTAACTATTAAAAAAACAAACAACCGTGAACTACTGCAGTGTTAAACGTGCTTTAGCTATCGAATAATTAACAGATTAACTTTTTCTTTTTCTTAAATAACAACAGCGGTGCACTTCAACAATGCTGATACATCCAGCCAGTCACTGTTTGAAGCACCCCCATTCCCGGACTACACCGGGTAGTTAATGGGGGTGGCTTTCAAGAGTGTTAGTATTGGTATATTTATATATTTGTTTACTAAACAATATTTGTAAAAGTTTTGGTATTCGAATCTATTAGTATGTTACTTAGTTTTTTACAATTCATGAGCTTGTAACAAGGAATAATTTAACACGAAAATGGCCATACACAGTATATGCTCCAACAAAGAGACGTCGAATGTAATAAAAGGCGTTGCTGCTAACTTTTTAAATTGTATTTAAAACTGGTATTATATTATTATGATTATCAAGCTTTCTAATATTGTATAAATACGTTATTATCTTAATCATTAAAACAAGATTGTTTGCAAGATCAATGTTTAGTTTCGATATAAAAGACATACAGTTGTAGGGCGAGACGAGTTAATTATATTGGTTCCTAATTACAATTTGTATACACAATTTGCAACAATACAATACAAAAGAAAATTAAGCACTTAGAAATTATGTAATACATTACTGCATTAATGCGCAGGGCATTATCTCGCAGCGTTTTGATATACGTGTCCCAACATGTAAATTTATTATCGGGGAAAATGTATACTGCACAGGTAACACACTATTTTTATTGTATTTCTGAATAAGGTGATATGAATATGCAAGAAATTTACAAATCAATGTTGCAAACGTTGATTTTGCTTTGAGCTGAATAAATTCAGTAATCGATCCATAACTCAAGTAGAGCGCCAATTAAATTTTAGACATAATAATTGTGACATAACATATCATACTCGCTGTTGCAAAAGATTGGTACTCAAAAGTCTTTGCGCACCCCAAGTAAAACTTGTGGTTCAAAAAACTTTCGTACTCTCTTCCCCCTTATTTACTGCTCTTATTTACTGCACTCCTTTAAATCTGCATGCGCTCCTTGTACGTTCTTTCAACAACGATTAACTTTTTTTTTCACACTAAGATTGTGATACGTAGTACATAAACCAAATGAAACATCGTATCGATAGCAAAAAAAAAGGCGGAAATTTTTGGAAAAAGTTTGAAAGACGTACGTAACACAATATTTGGGTGTTTTGGATGGGCGCAAACGTTTGCACCCCAACTCCCATATCCTCTTTTAGGAAACACTATATCGTATTGTATTCTTTTACCAAAGAAGGATAGATTGTAATGTAGTGCAAGCCAATCGGAGACAATTATGAGTACAATCGATCTTGTACTTATTATACAAATATGCAAAACTTTTTCTATGTAAGATAGCGAATTATTTTAATAGAAGGGGTTTATTTTATATGTTTAAATCATTTGGGTACTAGATAAACATCTCCCAACTTTTTGCTCAACTACATACTTGAACTAGTATATGACTTTCTGCTTAACAAGATAATCTTTCCGACGTTAGAAGCGTAAGCATTTTATATTATATCTTGTATTAAAACAACGAACATACAAATTTAATGGTGATTGGTTCGTTATAATAGACCATTTTTTTATTGCAAGGCGTACAATATCAAAATCAACTAAAAGTAAAATGGCTATACAGTTGACGCAAAAAGATTTTCCGTAGAAATTGTTATTCCAAAATTTATATTTACGATATTGGTATCAAGAGTTTACTACTATTGATTTAACAATGTAATATTTAGAGTCTGTTGATTTAAAGTATTTAGCATTGTTTCGACCAACATATGTAAAGTTAAAACTGACATGATTTTAATTTGACGTGTTGGTTTTGGTTTACCGCAAGTTTAAACAGTCTCTTTAGTATTCTTCTCTTTTGATGTTTTTCACGGACTATTGCTAAGTCTATTCCGATGTAACACACTGTTTCACTGTTGACTAAGATCGAGTGTAGTATCTTTCTTGACGTATATTACTTGTAACAAGGGTTCACGAAAAATTTTTTGCTGTCAACAATACTTAAAAAATTTTTTTAATAATTAAATAACTATTGTCGTTGAGTGTCTTCTATAGTAAATATCAACAATGTAATTATTTTTTTTCTCGTTAAAATAAACAAGCAATTTAATCCTAGAATACGAGAAAAGATTCTACTTTGACGTTTACATATATGTAAATGGGTATGGTATGCTTATGCGTCTTTACGCCCATGATATAGATAATGGTTATACTAATAGAATTTAACTAACATTTAATAAAGTTTTACAGCGTATAGTCTGCTGCTGGTTTATTGTATACCTTGTAATTGAATGAGTCAAGAAAGTATAATAAAATAATATATAATTGTATTTAGATATAAGACGCAACTAATATTTATAAAAAATATATTTTGAAACAAGTTTATTACAAGACTTGAGAATTATTTGATAGCTTTATATAGAAGCACAATCGTTAACAGTCTTAATAACTATACTTTCTTTAAAAAGACACAAAACATGGCGCTGAACATGCATCAACAACTGAGATAGAAAAACAACTGCGCGATTTAAAGCAATGTAAAAGTAAGTTATAAAAAAAGTATGTCATTATTACAAGAGCTCAAAGATATAGTTTATTCATACATAACAAAACAAAAGTATTGAAGTCTTCGGCGCTCTAAATTATTAAAACACATTAGTATTGCAGAATTACATGCACTTTAATAACACAAACGTATAACGAATAAAATTACCAAGTGAGACATCTCTAGTTTTTCAAACCGATTTCTATCGTCATGCGGTTTATTGAGTATTTCACACAATTTGTCCACCGATTTCTTGACATTGTCCAAAGTACTTTGCTTTACACAATTACGGCAAGACTTCTGAACCTTTATTTCGTCTCCGATTGACTCAACAATCAATACTTCCGTCTTACAACGTTTGGGTGGTGGTGCTTCAAACAGTTTGATTTGGGACAATTCTTCCTTAACACGTTTATGAAATTGCGATGGAGTCTAGAAAATTTTTTAATTATTATGGTACGGTAAGTATAATATTAATGAAAAATAACAATATTAATTAACAACATAAATTACCAATTGTGACAACATTTGTTTAATATAATCAGCGTCAGTCATTGTCTTTTCATCATATTTCGTATTATCGATATCAGATGCCAGCTCACAAAACCGGTCGATTGACTTTTCTAGATCGTTCATCGCAGCACGTTGGCTTTCACATTCGAAGCATGGCTTACGCTTTATTGGAGCACACCTTGGTTTTAATACCGAAACATTTTCTGATAGTTTTTTGTGACTAGGTTTGCGAATGGTTTCAAACAGTGACTGACTGGATGTATCGTATGAACTAAAAACACAATAATATATCAGATGGCATAAAATAATCACGTGTAAACATTGTTATTATGTAGTTAATAGTAGCTTTTTAAACCATTATAAAAAAACAATAAAATTACTTTGCCATAATGGGTTTTTGGAATGTTATAACACAGCTTGTTCAATCTGGATACGCGCAATGCTAAATTTGTTTTATAAATGCAAAAGAAAAGAAACACGTTGTTAAACATTGTGAGTGAAAAAATCCAAACAATAAAACACTGACAGGAATATGTCAAGCAGCGCTTACCTAATAGGAGCGAATGGCGCGCGCTATAGTAGAAGAAAG